TCACCGCAACCTCCGCCTCCTGGGTTCAGGCAATTCTCCTGCCTCAGCCTCCTGAGTAGCCGGGATTACAGGCACGCACCACCATGCCCAGCTAATTTTTTGTATTTTTAGTAGAGACGGGGTTTCACCATGTTGGCGCAGTGGCTGAAGCCTGTAATCCCAGCACTTTGGGAGGCCGAGGCGGGTGGATCACGAGGTCAAGAGATCGAGACCATCCTGGTCAACATGTCTACCAGTTATCTATCTTCCCTACCAATTTCCTTCCTCTGATCCCAAGAGCATACCATTCCAGTCTTACAGACCGTTTCCCTTCCATCTCACTACCTATGCCTCTTTTTACTTATCACAAACTAAAACCATCAGGAAACACACAATATGTCCTACTACTTGCTCCATTAAATGTTGGAGATACTGCAACAGGTCAATCCTGTATCTAAGGTAGTTTACACATCATGTGCCTCATAGAGGAAAACAAGCATCCAAGAACTACTGTAATGAGATACGAAAACCACAGGTGGCCATGTTTCTTGCTGAGGATAAGCCACAGGTTCTAAATAGCACGGACAGCTGATTGGCAATTTCATTTTGTGGACTAGATTTCAGTTTCTGATGTGGGGTGCAGCGGGGGTGGTTTATTTTATGTGTGTTCTTTTTCTTCAGAAGCAGATTCTTAAATTGGAGTATGTTTTAAGAGCTTAGAAGCTTAAGAACTTTCACAGAAGCCAGGTGGCCAGGAGGTAAGCTATCTTACTAAGTGCATGAGAAAAAAAAAAAAAAAAGAAATTAGATCTCTAAAAAAAATGTAGATTGCATTATTTTTATATCATCTTATCATCAAATACGTCAGACAGGACACAATGACTATAAGGTGGCCATACGAGGAAACAGCATGTGGCATAATTTCCAAGATGCAGAAAAGAAACCAATTTTAACATATTTTACATTAACACAGGTAAAAAGCTAACAATAACATATATATAAATATAGAAACAAAGAATAAAGAAAAAGTACATACAGAAGCAAGAATAGGTGAATAAAAAGTTTCACCTAAACCAAAAAACTCATAAATCTATTCCTCTGAGTAGAATGTGGGCTACTGTAGCTAATTTCTGCACAGTACTGGCTATACTGGTTAAATTCTCATCTACATTTGTTAATATTCTGCAGATGGTTAAATCCCCTGAAATTATATGCAAATGTGTCAGCATCTACGAATTCTTCTGGAAAAATGGTCTAAATTCTTCATCGATTCTTGATCTAAAATTGGAACTTTTTGTTTGGAGAGGGGGTTCAGAATAGGAAACCTTCTTTGACCTGAAATATAAAAGGTTTAATCATAAAGTGACCAAGAGAATCTCATTATAGTATTTCAGCAAATCTCCATTATGTTCTGAAATAGAAATGGAACTGGAAATCACTAATCAATCACCAAATACTTATTAAGCATCTACCATGAACATAATTCCACATGACTATTAGAAGTTAGGAAGAGAGAAATGATGAAAAATATATCTTTATTTAGACTGTAACTAAAATAAAGACAGAAAACAAAAACTCCCAAATTATTTAGTGGCCAAAAATAGAATACACGCCATTTCCACAAAAATTATCTCGTGTTAAGTCCTTTATATGCAACTATCCAGAGATTTTTTAAATTACTATTTCACAATATGAACAGTTTTAAACACATGAAAATTATAAGCAAACAAAGAATTTGGAAAAAATAAATATTTTCTTTAAATGCAACATCTAAGAGTCTCAAACAAAAAAAGAAAAAAAAAGAAAGCAGTTTTTTAACTCTACTTTGAAGCCGTAACACATACTAAAATTTCAGTCCACATTTTAAAACACATTTGGTCCAAAATTATGTCCGTTCCAAAAGTCGACACATCTTGCTTTATCTTAACACAAATAGTACATGTCATCTGTAAAATGGAGGAAAAATCAGTTCTTTAAATATTACTAAAAATTATGTTTCAACTTTACAATATACCATTTTTAATGTACAATACTAATATAAGTGTTTTTTAGTTGAAACTACTTCCAATACTACATAAAACTCATGAAATGATTTTCAATTCCTAAGGTTCATTAATTATCTATTATATTAAAAAGGGTTCATGAGTCAAAAGGATTTGAAAACCGACCTGTGTAATAAACTCAAAGTCCAAGACTAGTTGTAAAAGAATCACCCAGAAAACACTTCAAAAATGGGATTTCCAGGCCCTACACTCCAGTAAGTCTATGATGAGATCCAGGAATTGGTATAATGAAACCTCCGAGTAATCGTGATGAACAGCAAGGTTTAGGAACACAGGCATAAACACTAGTAGAGAAGCAGAGGAAGGAACAAAAGAGAGAGAGACATTGGAGGTGCCATCCTTCCCTACTTAAAAACAGATTTTAAAAACCTGCAAAAAAAACGGTAAGAACAATAAATCAGAATATAATGGATTCTGAGTTTACCATTTTCAGGAATACTGGTGGAAGGCCCTGGTTCTCCAGGTGGTTCCAAGCTATCCAACAAACGATTCACTTTATTTCGAAGTTCTATCAGTTCTCGACGGAGGTATTTCACCTGACTTGATTCAAGGGGTCTTGGTTGGCCATTAACTGAAATAAAAGCATTTATTTGCTTAAAATGAGAAGTTCATGAAAAGTACATAAATAATATGCAACAAGGAAAATATATACAATTCCTTTAAAAAAAAAACTAAAAGAAGATAGTGAAATGACTTTAAAAAAAAAAAAAAAAAGATTTATGGCTAATAACTTATTTTGGAAAAAAGAAGCATTCATCAGTCTTTCTTGATGCCAGACCTAGGACCTACGGCATTACTGGTAAAAAGGTTTAGTAGGAAAATCCAACTATAATAAAATAAATAATCCAATAGAAAGCTCTACTTTTTAACAGAACTTATTAAATTTAATAACAATCATTTAACTTTAAAAGCTCATTTTATTTCATGCTATTAATAGAATATATTAAATTTAGAAATTATTAAATTTAGTAAAAGTCATATAAGTTCAAAACCTCATTTTATTTCATGCTATTCTTAAAATAATACAAAAACACCTTAATCTATACATAAAATGTTTAAAGATGTAACATTACTGATATGTCTGTCATCCCCTTTGCATAATTTGTCTTGAAAAAAAACAGCTAATTAAAGTAGTTGATCTTAAAAGAAATCACTAAAAAAACATATGCAGGGCCAGCCGTAGCGGCGCACACCTGTGATCCCAGAACTTTGGGAGGCCAAGGTGGGAGGACAACTTGAGCCCAGGAATTCAAGACCAGCCTGAGCAATACAGTGAGACTTCGTCTCTACAAAAACCTTAAAAAATTAGCCAAGTGTGGCAGTACACGCCTGTAGTCCTAGCTACTCAGAAGGCTGAGGTGGGAGGATTGCTGGAACCGGGGAGGGAAAGTCCAGTTGGCTGAGATCACCCCGCTGCACTCCAGCCTGCACTCCAGCCTAGATAACAGAGTAAGGCCTTATCTCAAAAAAATTTTTAAAAATAAATATACATTTTAAAATATATGCAGAACTTATCAACATCACAATTGTCCTTCAAAGCAGCTACTTTCAGAGGTAGAATACAAGCCACAAAATGCCAGAGATTACTCAGTAATCACTGGTTGTGATTTTTTTAATGAAAACAACGTTACTTCAATTATTATTCATTTTGTCCAAATGACTTTCAGTTGACTAAAAAAAAACGAAATCCTTCATTCAGCAACAAACATTGCCACCACTCAGGTTATTTTTGAAAAGAAAAAATAAAAAAGTGACACAAGGCTCTGAATGCAAACACCAGGACAGGAGTTCAAAAAATAAACTAAAATGCTTTATGCACTGCCAGTATACATATGTACAAACTCCTGAAGTACCTAATTGGAAAAGGACATTTATGTGAAGATAAAAATTCAGGGCGATTCTTTATTAAATATGTTTCAAACATCAAATCAGTAATTATAAGCTTTGAGAAGAAAACTCTTCAGTAATTCATACTCCCTGGATAGCTATGAAGTTCAATACAATTTCCTACCTACATCAATTAGTTATTGGTTTTCACTTGCTATTACTGTTTTTTTCTCCAATAGTTGAGGAGAAAAACAGCTCCTAACAGCCAGAAACTGGTCTGGTACAGTTAGGCCTGGTGCTCACAGGTAGGCCGTGGTGTTCTCCTGTTGAATGTAAAATATTTCAAAGAACACCAACATTACACAAAATTACAATCTGTGATAGATCGCGAGTCCATCAGAACACTGACCACATCAGAAAAATGACCCAACAACCTTCTATCCTGGCCAATGACTGCTACTGCTTTACCAACTGCAGCTTCGGCCTCAAATCATTCCTCCCACCTTCCAGATAAGATTTAGTAAGATTCATTCCTCTCACCTTCTAGGTAAGATTTGGTAAGATACCCACTCACAGAATCATCTCCACTTCCTCAGCATTCAATGCAGAGCAAAGCTCTACCTCCTCAAACCTTACCCAAAATCAGCTAACACAAACCCAAGCCCTACAAAAAAAATGCTTTTCTAACATACCCATAAGACACCCTACTGTTCTCCATGGTATCCATTTCTCCCTTGCTGTAGTAACTCAGTAAACCCGAATCTGTTAAATGTAGGTATGTTCCTGGTGATCTTTGGAGCACACTGATACATCTCACCAGAACTTTTAAGAACCTTGCACTTACATTCCTACTATGGCATATAATCTGTTATTATATACTTAGTGGGTTTAAGAACACTATGTTTCAAATTATACTCAATTAAAAGTTTAGATTAAGTTTAAATTAAGTTAATATTAGGTATCAATTTGACTGGGTTGAGGAATGCCTAGATGACTACTGAAGTGCTGTTTTGGGTTGTGTCTGTGAGAGCGCTGCAAGAGGATATTGAGATTTGAGTCCGTGAACCAGGAGAGGAAAACCCATATTCAGTGTTGTGGGCACCATCCAATCAGCTACCAGTGCAACTCTGGCAAAACAGACGGAAGAAGATGGGATAAGTCTGCTTGCTGCGCCTTTGGCTCTTTCTTCTTCCCATGCCAGATGCTTGCTTCCACTCCTCCTGGCCTTGGACATCAGACTCCAGGAGAAGAGACTCCAGGTTTTTTGGCCTTTGGACTCTAGGACTTGTACCAGCAGCTTCCCAGGCGACTCTCAGGCCTTTGGCAACAGACTAAGGCTGTACTATCAGCTTCCCTGGTTTTCAGGCTTTTGGACTTGAACTTCGCCACTATCAGCCTCAGCTTCTCTCTTTCCCCAGCTTACAGATGGCCGACCATGGGACTTTGCCTTGTAATCACCTTGCAATTCTCCCTAAAAAACTCCCATATATCTTATTGGCTCCATTCCTCTGGAGAACCCTAATACACATAATAATGTATCTTCATTAGTGCGAATATAATTTTAAGACTTTGATAAATCATTTCAAGTACACAAGATAAACTTACTAAACACCCATCTTGTTAAACCTTAAGATTCCCCCCACCACCCCGCCTCAAGACAGAGTCTTGCTCTGTGGCCCAGGTTGGAGTGCAGTGGCCTAATCTCAGCTCACGGAAACCTCTGCCTCCTAGGTTCATCAATTCTCCTGCCTCACCCTCCCGAGTAGCTGAGATTACAGGCACATGCCACTATGCCCAGCTAATTTTGTGTGTGTTTGTGTTTTTGGTATAGACAGGGTTTCACCATGTTGGCCAGGCTGGTCTCGAACTCCTGACCTCATGACCTCATGATCTGCCAACCTCAGCCTCCCAAAGTGCTAGGATTACAGGCATGAGCCACCACACCCAGCTAAATCTTAATATTTTTTTCATCTCTGCTCCTAACCACTAAGGAATGAAACAGCATTGCCATAATTAAATCTCCCAGAGTACCTTTCCTCAAAACCCATTCCCCTACTTGATTTTAAGTAGTTTTATGTTTCACCCAAAACAATCTTGCCATGTTTGATTTATCCCACTATCTTTTGTTGTATATAATTATATTAGCTACATTTATAATCCTTTCATATCAGACATACAGAAGTTATTCTATGTAATAAAAGCCCCCATATAAGGTAAAAGAATTCCCTTTCATTCGTAGTCTGCTGACTTTTTGACGTAATTGAAATGTCAATGGTTTTTATCTACAGAGATGATTCAGTTTTTCTCCTTTAATCTGTTATATGAAAATAGTATTTGATTTTCTAATTTAAAGCAATCTTAGACCCCTTGGGTGAGCAACCTTAACAATGGTCTGTTTTAATATTCACTGCCAAGTTTAATTTATAAATATTACTTAGTATTTTGTATCTATGTTCATAACTGACACTGGTCTGCATTTTCCTTGGTTTTTCATGTTAAGGCTGTTCATAAATGGCACTGGTCTGCATTTTCCTTGGCTGATTTTCATGTTAAGGTTGTTCATAAATGACACTGGTCTGCATTTTGCTTGGCTGGTTTTCATGTTAAGGTTGGCTAAATACTATCTAAAGCAAGGATCCCCAACCCCGTGCTGGTCTGTGGCCTGTTAGGAACCCAACCAGGTCACACAGTAGGAGGTAAGTGGTGGGCTCTGCCTCCTGCCAATTCGGCAGTGGCATTAAATTCACATAGGAGTGTGAACTCTATCGTGAACTGCACATGCGAGGTGGAACAGTTTCATCCCAAAACCTCCTCCCGCCCCCATCCATAGAACTGTCTTCCGTGACACCAGTTTCTGGTGCAAAAAGATTGGGGACTACTGGTCTAACATCAGACTTACATGTTAAGCCCTGAGAATAAGTAACAACATACTGTAATGTGAAGGAAGATAATTACAATTCAAAAATTCTAATACAGTCAAATTAAAACTAATACTGTAAATAGGGATACCTAAGTTACATCTGATTTCAAAAAAAATAACGCACTTAACACACTCTGTTTTTACTGAATTAAACTTCCATCATTTTCTTAAAACATACAGTCATAAGCTTCAAGTAATCTAAAACAACTACCTGAATGCAAATAAATGTAATATTTGAATAAGTTACTGCTTAAATGAGTCTTTAAAAGGAAAAACGCCAAACATCTTTAATAAAAATACAATGAATAGTAAATTTATTAGAAAGTTTACTACTCACCAAATAATGTCAGTTTCAGTATCCTACTACACTGAATTGCAAAGGAAAGGTCAGAACTATCAAAAATTGTTATAAGATCTCCATCTGGAATTTAAAAAAAAAAGGTTTCAGATTTGTATAAGCAGTAAACTAGGACACATACAAAATTAAAAATCCAAAACGTAGATTGTAGAACATAGTTGGACTCTCCCATGAAAACCTTAAACTTTAAAGGTTCGTCTAAGCGAAAATGCCTTTGTTCAAAAACACATTAAATCAATTTTGCTTATTACTCTTACGGCAAGGTATTTACACATATCCACCTGAAAAAAAATGTAGCTAAGGTTAATGCATTACGTCCTTTAATTTTTACTAGTCACTAGGAAGAGATTCATAGATAGCAGTATCATAAATTGTTGGTTTAGACTGAAATCTTTTCATTCCAAAAAATTTAAATATTTTACCGAAAGTTAAAGAAATAAAAAAAGATTCCCAAAGTTCAAATCTTAACCCTAGATACAGTAAGACACTACTGTTGTAGAACTGCTTTAGTGACTGGATAGACCGTAAGTTCTTTCAGGTCACTGGCCATTTTCATAGTAACATGAAAACAATCAACTCTCCCCCAAAAAAATTTATAAATACAAAACAGTGCATATTTAAGACTATGAAATCCCTCAGATCTCAGGGATAAAGAATACCATAATTAGCATACCAATCACATGTGTCAAAAGCTTTCAAAGGGCTAAAGGAAAAACATGTTCTCTAAAGAAGGCAAGAAGAGAAAAGCAGCCAGAGACAAGGAGTTCATCAGGGACCTCTTCAGGGTATCTTCCCAAACAATTGGGTGAGAAGGAGTTCTGTCCTGGGGAGGCCACAAGACTACCTCAGGGATGCTCTGCTGCACCATTTTAACACTAATTAGGCGGATTTATTTTGGACAAAGATGACAAAACTGAGAATTTTATAACTGTTTTAGCTCCTTATAACCAGACCCACTTTCCATAACATACCTGTTTAATGTTCAACCTTCATAAACACATTTTTAAAAGAAAATAAAGTATATATGTGAAAGAAACTTCCTATAACTTTTTTCTTTTCTGAATCCTACAACAGAAACAGACTATCTCTGATGGTGGGAACTTTACCTAAGCCATCCCTCCACTATAGTGTCTAACAGAATCTAAGGGACACAAATCTAAATACCCAAAAACTTTTTGGCCGGGAGCGATGGTTCACACCTGTAATTCTAGCACTTTGGGAGGGTGAGGCAGGCAGATCATCTGAGGTCAGGAGTTCGAGACCAGCCTGGTCAACATGAAGAAACCCTGTCTTACTAAAAATGCAAAAATTACCCAGGTGTGGTGGCATGTGCCTATTAATTCCAGCTACTTGGGAGGCTGAGGCAGGAGAATCAATTGAACCGGGAGGCGGAGGTTGCAGTGAGCAAGATCACGCCACTACACTCCAGCCTGAGCAACAGAGCAAAACTGTCTCAAAAAAAAAAAAAAAAAAAAAAAAAAAAAAAAAAAAAAAAAAAAAAAAAAAAAAAAAAAAAAAAAAAAAAAAAAAAAAAAAAAAAAAAAAAAAAAAAAAAAAAAAAAAAAAAAAAAAAAAAAAAAAAAAAGATGAGACAGAGGCCTTATGTGACCCACAAAGCTACAATATTCATTATTTCTGATCCATTAAAGAAAAAGTTTGCTGACCTCTACCCTGAACAAAAATAAGGTAGTTAAGAGAAAGCCCATCAATGAGGTCAGTTTGAGGTAAGAGGAAAGCATCTTCAAATGAAAAAAAGGGTAGTCAAGAGCCAGGCGCAGTGGCTCATGCCTGTTATCTCAGCACTTTGGCAGGCCAAGGCCGGAGAATCACTTGAGCCCAGGAGTTCAAGACCAGCCTGGGCAACACAATGAAACCCCCATTTTGACAAACAATAAGAAGAAGCCAAGTGCAGTGGCATGTGCCTGTAGTCTCAGCTACACAAGAGGCTGAATTGCAAGGACTGCTTGAGCCCAGGAATTCAAGGCTTCAATGAGCCATGATCATGCCATTCCACTCTAGGCTGGGAGACAGAGCAAGACCCTGTTATCAAGTTAAAAAAAAAAAATTTTTTTAAAGACAAGGAAGTACTAGCCAGAGCAATTATGCAAAAGAAAAAAATAAAGGGTATCCAAATTGGAAAGGAAGAAGTCAAACTGTCTCTGCAAATGACATAATCATATACACAAAAATCAAACAATTCTACCAAAACCCTTAGAACCAGTAAACAAATTCAATAGAGTGGCAGGATACAAAATAAAAACAAAAAAGTAGTGTTTCTATACACATACAACAAAATGCAATCCCATTTACCACAGCTACAAAAAATTTTTTTTAATATCTAGGAAAAATTTTAACCAAGAAGGTGAAAAACCTCTACAAAAAAAAATCCTGGTGAAAGAAACTGAAGAGCATACATATGTTATGATATCCCATGCTTATAGATTAGAAGAACTAATACTGTTAAAATGACAAAACTATTCAAAGCAATTTATAGATTCAATGCAATCCCTATCAAAATACCAATAAAATTCTTCACAGAAATTTGAAAACAAATCCTAACACTTGTATAGAACTACAGAACTACAAACCACCCCAGACAGTCAAAGCAATACTGAGCAAAGAACAAAGCTGAAGGTATCACACTTCCTGACCTCAAATACCCTAGAAGCTATAGTAAGCATGGACTGGCATAAAAACAGACCCATAGACCAAGAGAACTGTCATAAAAACAGACCCATTGACCAAGAGAACTGGCATAAAAACAGACCCATTGACCAAGAGAACACACAGATCAACAGAACACATAGAACAATAAAACAGAATAGAGAACCTGGAAATTAATCCATGTTATCTATGGCCAACTGACTTTTGACAAAAGCACCGAAAACGGTTGTTAGGAAAAAGATAACCTCTTTAACAGGTCAGGAAAAGATTTCATGAATAAGACCTCAAAAGCATAGTCAATATAAGCAAAAATAAACAAATGTGATTATATCAAAATGGAAAATTTTTCTGCATACCAAAGGAAACAATCAACAGAGTGAAAAGAGAACTTACAGAATGGGAGGAAATACAACTACTCATCTGGCAGAGGATTAATATTCAGAATATACAAGGAACTCAAACATCTGAACAGCTAGAAAATAAATAATCCAATTTAAAAATCAGCAAATAATCTGAACAGACATTTCTCAAAAGACGACATAGAAATGGCCAATAAATGTATGAGAAAATGCTCAACATCACAAATCATCAGGGAAATGCACACATATGAGGAAAATGAAGACCACAATGAAGTTCACCCCAGTTAGGATGGTTATTATCAAAAAGACAACAAATGTTGGCAAGAATGCAGAGAAAAGGGAACTCTTATACACTGTTGGTAGGAATGTAAACAGCACAGCCACTAAGGAGAGCAGCATGAAGGTTCCTCAAAAAACTATAAATAGAGCTAACACATGATTCAGCAATGCCACTACTGGGTATTTAACAAAAAGGAAAGGAAACCAGTATATTGAAGAGACATCTGCACTCACATATTTACTGCCAGCACTATTCACAATAGCCAAGATATGGAATCAACCTAAGTGTTTAACAACAGATGAAATGATAAAGAAAATATGGTATACATACACAATGGAATACAATTCAGCCATAAAAAAGAATGAACTCCTGTCATTCACAGCAACATGGATGGAACTAGAAGACATTAAGTTAAAAAGATACCACATGCGCTCTCTCTCTCATTTGTGGAAGCTAAAAAAAGTTGATCTCATACAAGTAAAAAGCAGAAGAGAGGACAGCAGAGGCTGTGAAGGGTAGGGAAAAACAGAGATAGGGAGAGATTTATTAAAAGACACAAAATCACAACTAGATAGAAGGAGTAAGTTCCAGTATTCTATAGAGCTATAGGATGACTACAGTTAACAATAACATATTACATAATTTCAAATAGCTAGAAGGAGAATACAGAATGTTTCTAATTCAAAGACATAAATATTTGAGATGATGGATAAGCTGATTACCCTGATCTAATCCCATTATATGTATTGAAACATTACTGTGTACCCCATAAATATGTACAACTATTATTTGTCAATTAAAACAAAATTTAACAACAAAAAAAAGCACTCTTAGGACTTTGTTTAAAAAAAAAAAAAAAAGTTAAAAATCTGAATTGTAGTCTAGGCATAATGGCTTATGCCTTTGGGAGGCCGGGTTGGGAGTACTGCTAGGGGACAGGAGTTTGAGTTTACAGTGAGGTATAATCATGCCACTGCACTCTAACCTAGGCAACAGCGTCAGACCCTGTCTTAAAAAAAAAAAAAAAAAAAAAAAAAAAAAAAGTGTTGATCAAATTAAGGCACACATTTCAAAGTCACAGAGGTGAAAGTCAATGTATTATAAGCAGAAGAAAACAGGAAAAAAATTGCTCTCCTTTATTGCTTCACATGGGCAACTCTCAAAAATTTGTTTTGAGTGCTTAGACTACACATCATAAAAAGAAAGGAGAATTATAACTATAGCTAGATGGCCAATTTAACTATCACCAGTGATTCACTCTTCTCTTCCACAGCAGAAGTTGTACAAAGTGGCTGCTCAGCCAGGGACTACACTTCCCAACCAATTTGCCTCTTAGTCATGTAACTGGGTACTGACCAATGTGATAAGGGCAGAAATGACATATAACACCATCAGGCCTGGTGAGTAAAATCTCCCATATGATTCTTTGTACTCCGTCTTCACTCATCTGCCTGCCAATGTCAATGCCTACCATGAGCTTATGAACAATGTGTTTAAGGTAACAGCTTCTTTCAGCCTGGATATCTGAAAGATTTCTCAACTGTTAAACCACTCAGATTGTAAGATTTCTAATTATATCTGCTGGCATTACTTTAAGCCAACACTAACACAGACATTATATGTATTGTATTATTATTAGTGATCAGAAAATCAGGTTAAGCAGTGTCAGAGATGTTAAGAGGTAAAAGTATTTAACAAGGATGGTGTGGATAGCAGAGCTAAATAGTGAGGTCAGGATGAAATACACTGCAAGTAAGTTCAATATAAAAATCACACACTGGAGTCTGTTGGGAATAGGAGAGGGACAGCAGGAGGGGGTAGGAAGGTTGGCAAGAGATAACATGGGGAGAAATGCCAGATATGGGTGACAGGGGAATGGAGGCAGCAAAGCACCTTGCCATGTATGTACCTATGCAACAATCCTGCATGTTCTGCACATTACCCGAGAACTTAAAGTGCAATAAAATATGTGTGTGTGTGAATGTATGTGTATATATATGTATTATATATACATATATTTTATATTTACACATACACACACACACCCCACTGATAACCACCTAAAGAAAAAATTTCAGCAGAGATGTTAACAAAGAAGGCAGGTTAAAGAATAGGAAACACAGTCTAGTACTATAATTCTAATCAGTGTGTTTGCTAAAACATTTTTCATGCAAATTCTATTTCCATAAAAAGAGTTCTGTCAACAAATGAGTCTGGGAACACTGCACACTACAAATTTTTGAAAACTTATATAAGCACATTACATACTTGAAAATTCCTAAAATAAAGAAACACTTTTGTCTTTGTTTAAACCAGCTTTCCCATACTAAGTTGACCATGAAATCCTTTTTCATTCAATACATACTACAATCTTTCTTTCACTTTGGAAAATTAGAAAAAAAAAATTTTAAGCTAAAAGAAACCAGAATTATATGGACAAAAGGAGAAAACAATGCTTGTAAAAATGAATGTGAAAACGTTCTAACACTTAAAATTCCCTTCTAATAAACCACTTAGCTATTTTCAAATGATTAAAAAAAAAAAGAGTCCAATAAAAATGGGCAAAATAACACATACAATACTTAAGACTTCAAAGTCAGGCACTGTAGTTCATTCCTGTAATCCCAGCACTTTGGGAGGCCGAGGCAGGAGGACTGCTTGAGCCCAGGAGTTCAAAGTGACACTGAGCTATGATCACACCACTGTACTCCAGCCTGGGCAAGAGAGGGTCTCTTTATAAATAAATAAACAAACAAACAAACTTTTAAAAATAGCTTTAAAAACACTCTTACCTTCATCTTTATACTTTATTGTTACTTCATCATTACTCAGTAGTTTTCCTCTGAAAACTCGTTGCATCATTAGCACTAACTCATCATAAGTAATATCTTCATTATGAATAGGAATTCGCCGAATATCCTCCCCAAGTTGAGCTTTGATGATTAGCTTCCCACTCAGATCCAACTGTCCATTCATGGTGGACTCCAGGATGTTCTATATATAGAACTCTAGACAAAGACTGATAAAAGTGGTTTTGATAATTAAACAACAAAACATTTCTTAAAAGTTGAGAGTTACTATTAGATGCTAAGAAACTCTGGCCTCTAGAAGATTCATTATTCCCATGTTACCATATTTATGTTAAAATGGCCTGGAGGTAATATTATTTTACTGTAGAGATAATAAAAGAAGCTTTTATTTTATGTCTACTATTATTTTATCTACATGTTTAACTGTTTATCTGACATTACCACTTAGATTTTTCTTTATATAAAAATAAATTCCTAATCTTCCACCTATGCCTCTCCTATAGGCTTCCCAATCTCACTTCCTCTGAGTTGTGTAAGACAAAAAAAATCTTGATCTTTTTCTCAAACCTTACATCCAAACTACCAACAAAATATGGTTGCCACTACCTTTAAAATCACTCTGGAGTCCAACCACTTCAGCACCTTCACTGCTATCAACTTGATTCAAGCCACCATTATCACTTGCCTAAATGATTGGAAAAGACTCCTAACCAGTTCACCTGCTTTTTACCTTTGCCCACTTTTAATCTAATCTCAGCACACCAGAGTTAATCCTGTTAAGTAAAACCTAGTATCGTTCTGTTCAAAACCTTCTAATGCATTCCCATCTCAAAAACCAAGACCTATAAGATCATCTGGCCTCCGGCCCCTGGCCAAGTATTTCACTTCATTTCCTACCTCTCTTCTTCACTCACCCCTGCTACACCCACAGTTCAAGTTTTCCCTTCGTCTTGAACCTTTCTGGTTGCCCTCATATGATTCAGATTACTTATCAAATGTTAACTTTTGAGGAGGTCTTTCCTAACCATCCAATTTAAAATGGCTCCCCCCACATTATCTTATCCTGCTTTTCTTCAAAACACTTAACACTACCAGACATTAAAAATTTATAACTTTTTATTGCCTTTTCCACTTGATGGTAGGAAGTTTTCCATATTCTCAGAGCCTACAAGAGTGCCTAGCAGACCGGTAGTCATTCCACAGCTGTTAAATAAAGGGAAAAATAAATATTGGCTTCAAAACTCTATTATCCTACAACAATAAATGCTAACTCTGAAGAGTGAATACTGAAATAGAGCCTCAAGTTTTTCTGAGAAAGACCTCATGAGTACGTTCTTCCATTTCCTTTTTACGTGGAGGAACTGGAGGAGAAAGGACAAATTAGTAATACCTACCTGAACTTTTAAAGACCATCCACTACTATGCTGCATACTCCATAACTTTCCCACCTGGGTGGGTATGATTTGGACTGCATACTTTATTAAATAAGACAGTATCGAACAATTACCCGCTAAATACTGACTTGTTACAGAATTTTCCCTTAGATTTTAATCTTTAATATTATTCAGTTTGACTATCCTGTAATGACTGTGTAATTTTTTTTTTTTTTTTTTTTTTTTTTTTTTTTTTT